GCCAGGTTTTACAGTCTATTTTGGCTCAGGTGTTATTGCTAGGACAGTGTTTACAGCAATATTCATTGTGTTCTGCATAGCCCAGTCCATCAATCAACCTTGTAATAAAGCAGAAAGAGAAATTGGCGGATAAGCAGCAGAGCTGCTGAACTCAAGTTAGTCATACAAAACCAGCATGGAGACAAGTACAAATGCAATTGGTTCAAAGTAGCCATTTGCCTGTTGATTAAAGAAAAAAAGAGAAAAAAGAAAAAGGATACATGTGCTGCATTACAGTCTGCCTTAAAAAATAATTTAGGCTTCAAATTAGACTTCAAAGTGCTAATTTTTTCCTCCCTATTTTCTCTGGGTTAGTGTTTCAAGATTACTGCTGCTCCATACGGATTTATAACATGTATGTGTTTACTCACATATTTCTAAGCCAACAGGAAAGGCAGACCAGAATTCCAAATCTATCATTAAATCTACATATTGGCACCTACAAAGAGCTGCAGAAGTTTCATTTTTCTGGATAAGATTGAGTGGGTAAATTGAAAGAACGAACAAACAAACAAGCCAGCCAGCTACCCTCATCCTTAAAATACACACACAAAATGAGAGAGATAGACAGAGGTGGGAAAGATGATGGTTTGTAAGGTTGCTGATTTCCAGGTTTATCTAACAAATTAGGAATAAATTTAAGAACAGTATAATCTCCAGTTCTTTCTGGATTACATGTGGGTCTGCTGACAAACAGCGTGGTTCAAAAGATACAACACTGGTTTGGCTCTAAAGCAGCATGAGTTATTCCCAATTCAGCCGCTGAAGTGTGATGCAACTTCCGGCCTTTGCCCAACTTGGATATCCAGACTCTGCTTCACAGATTTTATTCTCTCCCTCACTGTAAAGACGTGCCTCACAGTATCAGGGTGTACCACAATGGAGTCCTAATCTTATTATAAGTGCCTCTAGATGCTACTGTAAAATAAACAGTGAAAATGATATTGATGAATTATGACTTGTTTTTTTCATCCTGCTTTAGTCTAGATCATCAAGAATTAACGTAAAAATCAAACTAGGATAAGATTTGTATACCCAGAGGCCCCACACAATTCCCACTGAAGTCAGTAGGACTTGAATGGAAATTGAATGAGCTTTGAAACTAATTCAACATAGGTGCTTATGCACTGCCATGCTGAGGATTGCAGAAACACCTAGTGCAATAGGCTCCCACAGTAAATCCATCAAACTATGGATGCAAGCCAATCAACAGAGTTAAGAACTCAGGTAATGCCAGGAGGGGAAAGTAGCTTTCAATGTAAAAAAGAAACCTAGGAGAGATATTCTTAGCACGTTAAGAGCTATAATGAAATACTGCATCTTGAGTTTGTCGTTGTTTGAAGGAAGCTAGGAAACGAGCAAGAATTCATTATAAAGCTGCTCAAGACCAAAACATGAATCATTGGGTTCTAAAAAAACCCAGTTGTCTAGAAAACGGCATAGATGAAAATGAATGGAATCTCTTTAAATTACTCTCTGTATAAACTGTTTCACATTCATTCTTTCTGCCATTGATTAGCATCTTTCTGGGATACGGGTTTTTAAATAATTCCACACCATACTCCCAGCTTCTGCAATCAAAACAGAAACGGCTCTTGATTCTGCATTTTTAGTGTTCATTTACAGGGAAAAATGCCTTCTGCAGTAAGAAACTTGAACACTTACTGTTCTTATCCATTTACTGGATATACCCAAGAGTGCATGCTTGAAGGATCAGTAATCAAACGAGATTAAGATTTCCCCATCACTTTACAAATAAGGGGACTTTGGTATGCTATTGCTGCATAAAGAAGGATTAAATCACCTCTGGAAAGCCCTCAAGGGACCTCTCTGATCCCAGCATCCCTGATAGAAAAGCAGAACCCCCCAAATCCTAAACAATAAACTGAGAAGACTTCTCTGCAAACCCAACTAAGAAACATACAGAAGGGAAATGTGGCAGACAAAACATGGCCTCTGCCTATCCTGTTCCTGCTCTGTTCAGTTTCCTGAGAAAACGAGGCTTGTGCGACCACACAGTGTGTTTCCGTATGTCTGTCCATTGCACCAACACCTTTCCAGCAATTTCTGAACCCCTAACCAATTATATTTTCATGTGATGACCTCCACTGAGGGAGAAGCAGTACTGAGAGCTGAACTGGTGTCAGTCATGGGGGAAACCACCTCAAAGCAAGAAACCTGCCATGTTCCAAGAACCAGAAAAAACACAGTGTCTTTTACCTGTTCACAATTTGAATTAATTTCCTATTTGTACCTTATCAGACCAAAGAAATCCAACCATGAGACACAACTCTGTTGAAAAGCTAGTTCCCTCATCTCACAGCTTGATGAGTGATATACAAAAAACACTAAGGGAACTGATAAGAATAATATGGAGGGGCTCTGGTAAGAAGCAAATTCCTTTTCTCCCTACAAGCGTTGAGAGGTAGAGACTCCTGCTCCTAAGGACAGTCCTCAGCAATTCAGACTGAAGGATCAGCTCTTATAGGGGCCTTCAAGTAGAAGTCCATCCACTTTTTGTTGTTTTAACCAGAGCCTCCTAATCTGTGCCCAGGAAGCACTGCTCAACCTGTCCGTCCCCAGGGCTCCCAGCCTGGGTCTCCCTGCCTACAAGGAACCTCCCAAAGACACATCATAACAGCTGCACAAACTTGAACCTTGGCAGAAAGTCTGCCAGCTCTGAAAAACACAACATACACAGATGCAACATAGAGCAAACAACAATCCTGAAGTGTTGTGCCAGTCTGTGTCCTGCCAGCACTCCAATGGCAACAAGAAACGGGACCTATAAGCAAGAGAATGGCTCTTCCTAAGGGCTCCCAGCATCCAAGCTATCTCAGGTACCTTGCTGTAGACATGCTCAGCACCTCCGACACCTACAGCATCCAGGACAGCCCCATTCCACTGATTTAGGCAGAGGTATGGCCAGCTGGGAGGATCCCTATGGCTGTAGTTTTGCAAAAAATGATGCTTCATTGGTCAGCAGTTTGGTAACCAAGACTGCTTGAAGATGCGTAAGAAAGAAAAACTTTCATAAAAACAGAAAACACACAAGACTGCCTAAGACCTCAGGCTTCTCATAGAAAAACATCCCACTCATGATTGTTGGAGTGGATTTTACAAGACTTACTGTGATGACATCCAAAATTTATTACAGCTTTTACAACAAAACCGTGTCTAGTAAATAGTGATGCAGTGACAACATTTACTGGGCTGGATTTAGCTTCTTAGGGCGCATAAATATACCTTTGTACTTTAAGAACAGCCATAGCTGCCTCCTAAATCTTGAATAATACAAGGCAGCTTTTTAGACCTTTAAACACATACACCAGCTTCGCTTTGTCTCCCTCACAAATCTGCTTCCTTACTATCTGCCCAGTCAGTCCCCAAGGTCCTGTTCTGCTCGTCTTTTGTCAACCTTAGCTTTTAGAATGAAACTGCTTGGAAATCATGCTTTTAAATTCCTATGTTTTTCGAGTATGGAATTCATTACTTTTAGAAAGTGACCAAATTTGTTTCCCCACCTTCCCAGTTATAAAACAAACTGGAAATCTTATCTGTTTTCCTTGGTACATACATGAAGAATTTTGTGCAACTTCATTTGAAAACTGATTTATTGACCATATGCATGAAAACCTTATCAAAAATAGAAATTAAATTGTAGATTTCTGTTAAGCGCTGAATAAGAAATTTCTTTGGTGCAACACTTTAGTAAAATAGGAATAGCTGGACAAAACTTTTAAAAATGAATAGTAGAATTTTAGGTTGTGGGTTTTGGGGAGCCAGATATGAAGCATGTTAAAGCACTCTGATTTCTGGAAAGCAGCCCGAGTCCAATATGAGAAAATTGAGTCCCTTGCAAGTGCCTCATGCTCATGTTGACTTCATAGGTGAAAGTAATACTTAACCTACACATTGCACCCTCCAACATACTGGTTACCAAACTACATGAGGACTAGGTGATACTTTGCCAAATAATGGGACTGTATTTGAAAAACCTGAATCCAGCCAGGACCAGCCATAAAACTGGGTAAGAGCCCAGACCTGCTGTCTGTGTCTTATGCAGAAAGCTGGCTCAGCTCCTGGTGGCTGCCCCAGCGGCATCCCAGCCTGATGCTGACCTTGCTGTTCCCCTGCCACAGGGCTTCTAGAGCTCACTCAAGGAGCTTGGGCAGAAATGAGAGTAACTCTTAAGGACAATCTTCCATAGCCACTCAAACTAGCCCTGGCCCTCCCAGCCCCATCACGCAAGTAGCTCCCAAAAGTCACGCTCCCTGCCCTAAGGCAGGGCACTACCCAGACCCAACACTTATACTTCCAAGAATGATTGGTCACAAACCCTAGAACCAGTGTTAAACAAGCAAACCGATAAACGATTGCATCTAAGAAATAAAAAAACCCAACCCCCAACTTAAATGCAAGTTTGCCTACATTTTACAGTATCTTCTGTACGCAGCAAAGGGTCTGGACTATTTCCACATTCATTTTTGCTGCTGCTGTTCTTGTTAAAACCCATCGTTCTTTCCTTGCGACATTTCTTCGTGTCTTTGAAAGAATGCTCTCTGTAACCACAAAATATTTGGCTTGAATGCTCCAGTGAGGAGGAGCCAAGGGTTTGGCTCATGTTTTAAAAACAAAAGAAATATTACCCTAAACATAAAACAAATGAGTGCAACTGTCCCAGTAGATGGAGATAGAGCTCCTAGCACACACTATGAATAATTCCAAGTCCTATTAGAAGTAACACAGCTTTCTGAATTTCCCTAGAAAACAGCATGTCATTACTAGGTTCCAGTTTGACTAAAATGCAAAATAGCTCTTTTTTTTTTTAGGGAAAATGCTAAACAAAAGACAGTATGTAGTGTAACAACTAAAGTGCAAAGCATAACCTCTTACAATCTGAAATTGTGAAAGACAATTGTATACACATAAGGACAGAGATATTAAAAGGTGGCTCTTACCTCCATCCCCAGATCCTGAGCCGGCATCTGAGAAAAGAACAGAAAGAAATTTATATTCCTGTGCTCCATGATGTCCTGTAAGCATGCAAAGCAAGATTGTTCAGTTAAGTGTATTACAGTGTACCTACATTTGATGTCATCCCTGGGTAAATTATAGAGATCTAATCTGAACGTAGCTCACTCAAGCCATCTTTCTCATGTCTCAACTCTTTTTCTTTAAAGTCTCTATATCAGACTAAAATAACGTAAGCCCTGGAGTGCTGTAATGTCCTTGTAAGCCTCTGCATCATTTTGTTGTACTGAACTGATAAAGCTTTGTTCCCAACAGTTGTGCAAAGTTACTTCACTTGGCCACTACTAAACCCTCACCATCAAAAGAGATTTTTTTAAACCCATTTGTTTGAGGCCAGATCAATTGGAAATTCATGTCATTATCTTTACAAAACAGTGACATCTCATAACTAGTTGGAATAAACCATTGAAATTGTTATTATTCAGAGTCTTTAGATAAATGATTAAAACGCCATTTTTCTTGATGTTGTTGCTGAGTTCCAAAATTGAGTGGTTTATCTTCACTTTTCCTCTGCTCAATGTTTTGTTGGTTGGAATGACAAGGGTCACAAATTTAGAAAGTGCAACATCACAAAATTGCCAAGCCCGGAACTTCGTTAGGAAACTTTCTAAGCAAGGCAAAGCACAGAAATGCACACATATGTAGGGTTACAAAAATAATCCATAAGAGGAACTTCTTTTGTGGGGAAGAGAGGGAGGTTGTCATCCCATCCTCCCCCTTAGTGAAGAGGTTATCCATTTATCAGAACTAAGATTAACAGAAAGAGTTTGGAAAGGCTGCTTTGGGATTCAATTACCCTATGAACTGTTAGATCTAATTTACTGACAGCAAGGTCTGCTGGATCTGAACTGGCTTGTACATGCCATCATTGCTCAAAATTAAAAAAAGGAAAACCTTTATTTAAATAAACCTGTCATAAGAATGGCTTAAAATGGCAGATTTACATAGCAAGACAGCATAGGACAGAGGCAAAAGGGGGCTAGAAAAGAGAAGAAAAAATGATGTTTTTCCCAGTGACCATCTCCTGCATTTTCCTGATCTGATCTTCTGTCCCAATGCTCTTTCCCAAATGAGTTACTGAGGAAAGAAAGGTGTCTTCAACCCAAGGCCCCCATGGCTCTGGGAAGCAGAGGTGTGCCAGGTCTCCCCAGCACAGAGAAAGAAAACACCTGCTGTTTCCTGCCTCCTGCAAGGTACCGTATTCTCTGGCTCTTTGGAGGAAAAGGACCTGGTGTCTCTCTTCCTGCCCCTGCCCTTCGATGCCCAGATCCCTGACAGTCATGGCCAGGAGGGCTGCTTGCTGCCGGACTTCGCATCAGCCCAGATCTCTGCTGCGGGCCCTGAGCACCCTCTCTCTGCCTCATCTCACAGGGAAAACCTGAGGTACATAACTGCTCCCCTCTCTGCTGAGCCTCCTCCTTGGGAGAAAGCAAAAGAGACCAAATGATCAAGACTTCAGGAAAGTTCTTTTTTTTCCTTCTCTGTTTCTGAAGTGCACAATGTATTTCAGAGAGAATGCTTCCAACACAGCCATTGCCAGTAGGCAAGCAAGTTTAAGAAAAGATGTAGCAATGCACTAAAATTATCCCTTTAATCAAAAAGTTTGAACAAAAAAAAAAGACCAGTTATTGTGCTGAGAGAATTTACTAAGTTGAACAAATCCAACACCACAATAGACTTTGTCAGCCTGAGCTCCATTTAATACCAATTTACAGACAAAAAAATGGCAGTATTTGGTTTTTTCCTCTTGAAAACTGTCAGGTAACAGCTTCAGAGAAGAACATTTACAGGGAAAGAAGTTTTATTTTCTCTCAGGTGTATGAAAAACAAAATTACAGCACTGCAAAAAGTTTGTCTAATGCACCTTTTATTGACTCCTCCATCCTCAGCCAAGAAAAAATTCTGCTTGAAGTTTAAAGAACTCTCTCAAGAACTAAGACTTACTCCTCCTGCTCTTTTCAAGTTAACTTCACTGCCCACCTCTAACAGATACTGAGCACCAAAGAAAAACATCAAGAAACACACATAAGCAACTCAGTTTTACTGACTCATTTTGCTCATTCACCATTCTAGCCGTTTCACAAAAGCAGAGATACAAATAGCTCCTAATGCTCAGAGCTAAGCAAGGATGTCTCAAGTGCCAGTCAGTTTTCACATACACTCTTAATAAATTCTTCCAACTCCAGAAGAAAACCCTGTTGCACAGACTTGTTCATTAAGTGTGTTTTGGGCCATATCTTCAGCTGGTATAAATTGGCAGGGCTCATTACAACCAGTGGTCTGTTGAATCATACCAGCTGGGAACCTGGCCCTACATGCCTAAGGAAAAACCAAAGAAAATGGATTGCAGGCAATAATGCTCCCGTTCTATCTCTCCAGATTATGGGGAGGTTTGTGGTAATCCAGATGCCCATTTATCAGACATCTGCGCATTTAATCTGCTCCCAGTTACATGTTGTAACAGCTCAGAAGTGTACACAGCTCATAAGATGATCAGCACCACAAGATACATATTACAAAAAGAAATCAACTTCTGTGCTGCACTCTTCAAAACAGTGTCAAAGGTATACTGTATCATAGACTGTGAGCCTATACTGAGGTAGTTATTTAAAAGCGAAGGATGGCAGCAAATTCTCATGCCTAAGACCACAAAGAATTAACCCATAATGAACTGAAAGCAGGGATTCAAATAGCTTTTGCCATGCACAGGTTATTTTATTGAGGAGCATGGCAAGGTCCACAGGCAGCCTGGAGGTTATTTTATTGAGGAGCATGGCAAGGTCCACAGGCAGCCTGGATTGCGTTGTACCTACCAGTTGCACACGATCCTTCGGACACTAGAAGTATTTCGCTCTGCTGCTTGCAGGCAGCCTGTTTCAAGTAGCATTCATTCTGGTAGGTGTCGCCGTTGGAGCCGCACACAGGCACATAGTCATTGTTACACTGATAGAAATGGACAGAGAGCAGCAATGTTAGTTACACAAGCAGGGTGGCACAGCATCCTTTTGGGTGCCCACCCGCCCCCTTCCAGTGTTAAACCCTGGGGAAACAACCGAGGGGAGACACCGACCCTCCTCCTCCTCTTCACCTTTACAGTCACCAGGGGAGAGGGAGGGGGGATTTTTAAAAAGACAAAAGGCAGAGGAGCATAAACCAGACTTGAAAAGGTTAGGTAAAAGATAATCTGAACAGGCAAAGTGTTCAGTAAGTGCCCCAGAAAGGCCTCTCCCTGTGAGAATGAGGTGGGAGCATTCCTGGAGAAGGAATATGGGCAAGGCAAGCAGCTCCTCGCATCTGCAATAGCAGTTCATGCATTTCCATTGGATGGCTACAGAAAAATTGCAAGGAACAGGCTTGCTTTCCCCTCCTCCTGCACATACACACCCTCACTGCTACAGAGACAGTCATTTGCATACACAGAAGCATCCGCCTGTGTGTGTATAACTCTCTATTTAAGTACTTAGTTATAACTAGAACTGATTGGACAAAGGGAAATTATTTCTGAGACACCTACGATCAAAACCCATCCCTCTTTCTGCAGACACATTTCTGTTCCTGGCGAGCTGCAGCTGGGAAGCTTCACAAAGGTCCAAGCTCTCCCCACGGCGGCCAGCGGGCAGGAGTGGCAGCAATGCAGCCAGAGAGTCGAAGTTATTCACACCGTGCACCCCGCCTTTGGTGCAAACTTCTGCTCAGCTCTGCAAACTATGTGCTTTGTTCCCTCTACCACTGAAAGACAGCTTTGTCCTCTCTTGTTCTTTTTAATAAAAATAATTCCATTTTATATTGAAAATTGGGCAACCTACCGGGTGCAGTTATCGTAAGATAATCACACTCTGAGGCTTAGAAATACTTGGATGTATCCTGTACATGGTAATTATACCAGGGATATGATTATCTCATGATTACCGTGCTCCTGGTATGCCTCATTGTTTAATTATAACAAATGAAATGATTACAATTATTATTTACAAATGCTCACCTCTGCTTAAATCCAAGTAAAAATTAAAAAGAAATCATACTTCCTATTTAGGTGTATTACGCCACAAAGTGTCTGAGGTGTGTTTGTCAGGCACAATGTAAAACACAGAACTGAAATTCCAGGGATATAAACACCAAATACACTTCAAACTGAATAACTACAGAAGTGATTAACACAAACAATTGCATAGATTGCATTAATTGCCAGCCTCCACACAGAGCAGCTGCCAAGAAATTATTCATAGTTGGTCAGAGTGACATTTTGATTGGGCCAAATCAAATGACATTTTCCTTATGCATTGTATTTTCTTAAATCTTCCCAAGCTGCTGCCCACCCCCAGTGCTCCCTTCCTTGGAACAAGAAAGAAAACCAGCAGCCACAACAGTAGAAATCCTCTCCTTCCACTCCTAACAAAGGGCTCCTCCATGCCGAGATTTTAAACAGTTGATTAGAAAGTGTTTCTACACTATTTTCACCATTACGTTCCAAATCTGAGCAATGTTTCAAGTAGAAAATGCCAACTTCATCCAGAAGCTGAACAGCAATTGCTGGAGGCTGATCTGGAATACTTAACCAGGACAATGAACACAATCATACAAATTTTTTAAAGCATGAAGGATCAAATCATGCTTGCTTTAGACATTCTATCTGCTTGTCACCCACAGGACTTTTTGCCGAAGCAATCAATGCAGAATTTGGCCCAAAGTATCCTAACAGGCTCTGTTACATGTAGAAAAAATGTTGGATTCTGTTCCTAAGAAGCACAGTGGCAAACTCTCTGCTGGTTTTGCCCAGAGCAAGAGATGATCTTTTACACTGACTCAGCCGCAAATCTGAAAGGCCAGACGGCTCTACATTAGCAGCATACAGCATCAAGGGTGAAATCCTGATCCACAGAAATGAATGACAGAGCTGCTATGAGCTAGGCTGGAACTTCTTCCAAAGCTTGGCAATTTTAAAATGCATTCGAGAGACACCAGGGCTCCAGGAAGGATTAATTCTCCTGGTAGAAGTTTCCCCCTTTCTCCTGGGGCTCCTGCCACACTCAAGCTTGGCTTCAGCCAACAGAGGTAGAGGGCACTCCATGACAAGGACAGGTGATGCAGCCTTTGCTTTCTCATACTAGTCAAAGTGCTGGTGGAAGATTTATTTCTTCAGCTGCTGCCCGCTCTCCCCACCACTGCCTTTGGACAACTAGTATTCAGACAGAAAAGGCAAGAGCCACAATGAGCAAAAGAAGTGAGATCTTCCAGATAGATCCTGCCTTGGCTTTGAGCTGGGATGGCTCTGAAAGCCACCAGGAAACCATAGTGGAAGTTACACAGGAAAGAAAACAAGACCACTGATGAGACTGTTGTGATGTCAGTCACCAGGTTACTCCTAACCCACCAGAGCTAGGCTCTTGTACTTGACCACGCTGAATCCAGTACTCGCAGCTCTTCACCATCATAAAATACTTCTTGCTAGTACTGGAGAATATTAGACGTTGACTGTCCCTTTCCTCAGTCTAGCGACACATTTTTGGCACTGGTTTAGGCCTCAATAGACCAAGTCCTAGACGTGGGAATGATTCTCCATCCCCCAAGTAAGAGCTTATCAAGCACTCAGGGAAATCCATGTCAAAAATCCCACTAAATCCAGCAGCATATTGCCATGCTGTCCACTTGTCTCTTATACATGAGTGTTTTTAAAATACAGCTGTAGAGCAGAGAAATGACGTATCCAATTCAGCCAAGTATCAGTCAAAGGCTGCCTTCCTCAGCACTAGCAGCCTTGAGTGCCCACTATCACAGCCAGGGACAAACCAGCTTTGCCAGTGTTGAGGTCAGTGCTGGGCATTGAAAGCATAAGGTTTGTTTTCTTAAGAAAATGGTAACTTGTGTAACTCCTCCTCCTGGTAACATTGTTAAAATTTCAACCTCCTCCTACTCCCATGGATTAACTACTCCCAAAATGCCACCTATGTCCTGAACTATTTAAATAGCATGAAAATATATTTCAGAAATATAACATATATAAAGCTGCAAGTTGGCCAGGTGATGTTCTAGCTCCACAAACACTGAAGCTTGTGAGGGATTCAACATGCATGAAAACAGGACTCCTTCCTCACATAAAAAACAGTGACTGTCCACAGTCTTGGTGACTAAAGAGAAAAGACATGAAACATTGATGGAAACCTGGTATATTTTTGGACACATTCATGAAATCTACAAGGGAAAAGAACCCAGGCTGCCAGACTGTGGCTTTGGGCAGATTGAAGCACAGACCCCAGAGAGCCATGTCTCCAACCACATACCTGCTGGCACAGCTCTGAACCTTCTGGTGGACCCGCTGAGTTTGCTCTTTGCAGGGAGGGAAGGGGTGGTCATTTCCCCCATGCTCAGCACCACTGCTGAAGCCAGCACTGGCCCAGTGCCTTCCCTCCCTCCCAACACCAAGGTCTGGGCTTGCCCTGAGCAGGGGACAGGTCTGCATTTACCGATTGAAGTGGGACATGGTGTTTTCCAACGCAACACATGTCTTATTCCAAGGAGTCGGTGAATGGGCTATCATTTTGCAGTAGAGTACAACCAGAGAGCCAAGCAATATGAATCCCTCTCTCAGCACATGCCTGCTGGCTCTCCAGGGATGAAAGCCTAACTCAGGTGTTCCAGAACAGTCCGATCATATTCACCCTTTCAAATAAAAATAAATTAATTTTAACTTCACTTGGACAGATGTGATACACCTGTGATTCTGGTTTGAAAAAACCCAAACCAAGTCTGCAGCAGCCCTGCTCCTCACTTCTGCCTCCCCCAGCTCCTCAAGACACAGGCTGGCCAGCCCAGGACTTTTCAATAGTACGGAGGCAAAATTAGCTTTCCATCCTTGTCTATTCTCTCAAGCTGCAGTTAAAGCCCCTGGCAAATTCTGGAGAAAACATAAAAAGTAATTATAGTGACGAGGAGTCTACTATTGATTTGCTCACTATCACCCCAGAGAGCTGTCACTGAAACGGGGGAGCTGAATTCTGATGGAGGACCCCCTTAGTTGTGACATAAATTACCTGGCTGGCTCTGCCTTACTTGGCCAGCCTCAGACACCACACTGGAAATTAATTTTCTACTCTGGTGGCGTATCTTTTTGGCTTGTCACATTGTCCACTGATGTTACAAGAGAAACTAACATCCCCCCAAGCTCTGTCTGTATCAAAGCTGACGCATTTGACTACAGAAGCCCCTGGCACCGCACCGCCCTTCGCAGCGCCAGCGCAGGATCAGCCACAGGTAATTTGCCCTCCAAGGTCACAGTCAGCCCTGCGGCTCCATGGAGGGCTCAAACGAAGACAAAGAGCTCTGAGTGTCTACAGGGCCTGATCCAAAGGACACTGAAACCAAAGACTACTGCTGATTTCAATCCATCTACTAGTGATCAGGCCCACAATTGCCCTACTCATTTACATATTTATATAATGATTATCTGAATTCCTTAGATCTGTTTCCACTACCCCCTCAGAACTGCTCAACTCAGCGTATACATAGTGTTCACCTCTCAAAGAGGAGACAACACAGCCCAGAGGGGTTCACTTCGCTTTATTTGCCCTGAATCACCAGGGATCAGCATCCTGCCTTGGGAGAACAGCACTCCCAACGCCTCCTTCCCTGCTGAGAGCAGCATCCGAGTTTGCGCCTTCTAGGTTACAAGTCTACCGCTCTATACCAAATGGCAACACCAAACTGGGACCAAAGACAAGACCCAAGCACTCTCTGTGGCTGCTCTAAGTTCCCAGTGCTCAGGGTACACCACCTGCCCTAGCTTACCACCAGGCAATGGGACAAGTCACAGACATTTCACTGCATTACAGATTTTTCTTAGAAAGAGAAAACAGACCAACCCTTAATCACTGCACATGCTGAGCCAAGGCAAATGCTCAAAAGAGCATTCTCACATTGAATTTTTGATTGCATGCAAACTAGAAGTGGAACAAAAAAATCCATGGTCAATATGAATTCTCTCCCAATGTGAGAAACACAAGCATTTCAGCAAACAACTGCCTTGTTCTTGTTAGAAAAAATTCCTTCTTTGTTTTAAATTAAGGAATTTATCACTTGGGTTGTTTCTCCAAGGACACATTTGGCTCTAGAAATATAAACAGTACTTGTCATACTTCAAAGCAAATAGTCTATCAAAGCTCAATAATAAATTAATCATTACAGATGTACACGATCTTGAACTGTGCACTATTTGGCCTGCTTTACTGTAAACACTGAAATCAGTGTTACAAGTTCCACAACTTCACAGATCCACATTAAAATGCAAGAAACTGCAGCGGCCTAAACATACATACAACACGTGCTGGTACATGCTTAAAGCTCCTTTAATTTGTTCAGTTTTTATTCAGGTCATTATGTAAAGCACAGCTGTTTTGTGAGTTGGCTAAAACATATTAAATGGAATCCTTCATAATGAAATGATCTGACTTTGAGAATGTCTGAGATTTAGCTGTAGCTGTAAGAGGGAGAGAGAAGAAATAGAAGGAAAACCCCCCTGCTACTCAGTAATAGCCCCCCCCCCCATATAAAACCTAAAGGAAGTTCATGATTTTGGAACAGAGGGCTTGCTCCTTAATCTGATCAGCTGGGCAGATAAACAGGCAGAAGCATTGTCACTATGCAGCCCTTCCTGAAAATATTGCATAAGCACATTACAGATCCATTTCTTTAACTAGATCAGAACTCTGAATACAATAAGCCATGATCTGTATCAGAAATGAATTTAGAAAGGACTCTAAATCCTTGTTAAAAGGACGGAGATGGAAAAATCAGAAATGCACAACCTGAAACTGCAGACCAGAATGGACATTTAAAGCCACAGCATCTGCATTTTCCCAGAGAAACTTATGTCTTCTTGACACCAGTTGGTTCTCCTGCCAGCTTTCATAGATGCTGCCAGGTTTTCCCTCTAACTTCTCTGCACATAGAGAAATAAATTGCCAAGTGATAGGTTATAAAGGAAGATCCTTGATTTGTATTCTCATTAGTGAATTAGAGAACAAAGTATCAATCTTCTTACCTTGAACTGACAGACACAAGTCACACTGTCTCCAATCCTTAAACACTCCCCATCAAATTTACAGGTATTGGTGTCGCAGAGAAAGAGATCGTTTTCTCTGTCATCGTAACCTCAAATATAAAGAGGAAAAAAAAAAAAAAAAAGATGTCAGCTTTGGTCTGGCAAGAGGAACAATACTGGATGATTGCATTTTAATGCACACAGCACAATAACCTTGTTGACGAAAAGATAAGAGTCCAGATTTTCTTTTGTCCTTCCCTGTCCTCAGTTTTCCACTTCGCCTCTTGTTTCTCCCTCGGTCTCTCTCTTAGTCCTTATTCCCCACTACCTCACACACTTTCTTTCCCCCCCACCATTTCACAGACTCTGCTTCCTCAAAAGTCACCCGGTAATTATGCTATTTCATGGCTCTGGCTTGGAAATATCATCAACTTATCCCCATCCGATCGCAAATCTTTTGGTCAAAAATCCAAACTGGGATTTCTCCAGCCCATGATTCAACAAAGCCCCCGATAATAAAGACAAACAGGCTGTGTGTTTTCCGTGATGGTCTGCCTGATCCCAATGAAGATTGATCACCTCTAAGTTAACAGAAGTGCCAGGTTCCGCAGAAGCTGCTAACTGAACCTAGCTCTTTACCTTCATTTTCTCCAGGAAAAGCGAACAGATCTGACTGAAGATTCAGTTCACGAATACAAGCATGAATTTCAGATTTCGCTAGCTGATTTCCCACTCCAACAGCGTGCAGCAAGGTATTAAATAAAAAAAGCTGTATCAGACTCCAAACCCATTAAGATCTAAATCCATCCATTTTTTTTACAAACATCCGAGTGCTCTTAAGCATATTGCTACATGTTTAAAATGAAGAGCTTACAGTGTGAAAATTACACACACACACCCCCACCCCTCCCGATCTAACGTATTATGTGTGATGCAGAGATTACACCAAAAAACGCTTTTGCCCCCTGGAAGGCTATTACAGTCTAATTTCAGAACTACTTTACACATCGGAGAAGGGTCAGCTGCTGACCTGCATAGGAAACTCGTTATAAAGGTCAGCCCGACTTTAAGGAACAGTCACCGGGTTCCCGGTGTCGCGGTGTCCATACCCCGATTTGCTCTCAATTCCGGGCGCAAACAGCCGTCCGCAGGATGCGCACGCACGGCCCGTCTCCCCGCTCCCCCTCTCCCGCAACCACACGCCGAGCTGCCCCGTTGAAGCGC